CCTATGCCATTCAAGATACATCACAAATAACTACTTATTCAGGAATAGCTTCTCTAATTTCCAAAGAAAGGACCTCAAATCAATGTTTCGTAATTCTCTTCCAATATAATCCCCTTACTTCAAACGAGCTCTCATCTCTTGCCCAATGGATTGTTCTTCATTATTTCGAAATATGTCAACCTATTTTGAAGTATGCTCATCGTGTCTTGCTCTATTTATTGCATGAAAAATAGAACATCTTCAAGTCTTCTTCTAATATCTTTCCTTTCACTTTCTGATAGTTATATGAGTTATATAATCTTCATACAATCACTCCAAACACATTTTCAGGATAGTTTGAGCTTAATTATTTTGATCTTATTCATAAATTCCTTATTCCCAAATAATGTTGTTATTCTAAAGAGTTTCTCACCTACCTTGTTAGAACATTTAATACAAAGAAACGTTACTTTGCTTACTTGCCGTATAAGAGAAAGCTCTACCATAAAGTATTGTTACACTGCCTCGATTTAGAGAATGCTTAGACAACTTAGAAGAAAGAAGATGATGACTCTAACGGTTATATTCATAAGTGTAACCGATAATTTATAAAGCTCAACTATAAATAAGAACATTTATAGTTATATGAGTTATATAATCTTCATACAATCACTCCAAACACATTTTCAGGATAGTTTGAGCTTAATTACTTTGATCTTATTCATAAATTCCTTATTCCCAAATAATGTTGTTATTCTAAAGAGTTTCTCACCTACCTTGTTAGAACATTTAATACAAAGAAACGTTACTTTGCTTACTTGCCGTATAAGAGAAAGCTCTACCGTAAAGTACTGTTACACTGCCTCGATTTAGAGAATGCTTAGACAACTTAGAAGAAAGAAGACGATGACTCTAACGGTTATATTCATAAGTGTAACCGATAATTTATAAAGCTCAACTATAAATAAGAACATTTATGAATATGGTAAACAAACGAACGCACACGAACGAAAACAAGTTATACTTGTTCACCAACTTTTTGAGTTTGCATTAATTACGAGAAAGCTTTATTGATTACAAATCAACTCTTAGAGAAAGTATTCAATAGTAGTTACGTAGCTCATTCTTAAACTTACTCTATTTATCTTTATTTTTCTGACTTGAAATAGAGGATCTTCAACTCCTTTTACTCTATTTATCACTATTTTTCTAACTTGAAATAGAGGATCTTAAACTCAAGGAGTTTAAGAAAGATATATTATTACCTTTGTAAGAAGGAGTAATTCAGACTTTAATATAAGTTTGGGATTGTACTATGGCTATCAAGAGCTCAGACTAATCTTGGTAGAGTTAGTAAAAAAAATCTCAAGTGGTGCTTGAGGACTGAATATAGGCTCAAGTGGTTGGAGCTGAACCAAGTTACCTATTTATGCAAGCTTCTCTTCCTTTGCTCCATTGTATTTGGTGATATCATTCTAAACCTATGTCCTAAATTTTATTATTAATTAAATTTTTATATAGCCTAATTCACCTCCCTCTTGGGTAGACTTTCAATTTTTGTCCCTCAACTTTGCCCAAAGGGTCACTAAAGACTATAAACTCAATTATAAGTCAATTCTCTCCCTTAATGTTAAAAATTCTATTCTTCATGATCATAATGTTAAAAACACTTAACGTCTATTAATCATCAATTAGTTCCACTATTTTTTTAATATTTTTTATCAGATCTCATTTTTGCCCGTCAACTTTTATTCGAAGAATTGGTAGGCACCCTCAACTCAAATATTTTATAATAAAAAATATTAAAAAATATAAAGTGGGATCCACTAACAGTCAAATAATGGTGAAAAAATAGCAAGGTAATGAGAGGAAATTTTTAAAATTTGGGGATAGAATTGACTTATAATTAATTTTAGAATTCCCAATGATCTTTCGCGTAAGGTTGAGAAGCAAAAATGATCATTAACTGAATTATCAAATACATGATGTATACCTTACATACTACATGTAACATTTTATACAGTGCAGCACCACACAATATTAAAATCTTATAAGGTCTTATCCTATTAGACCTTTATTCATAGTGCATTTTTTTTAATATTTTTATGTTTTATATTAATAGTAACCAAATATAAGCCCTATGCATTATTGTATAAATTTAGTGTTCACATACAATGATGAGAATGAGATATTGATTAGGGAGAGTGACAATTTGGTCCCTAAATATTGAATTAATCACAGTAAAGTTTTTGATAAATTTTTTTAAAAAATAAGTTGAAAATATCAATCCAGATAATTACGAATTTGAGAGTTTCAATTTTAAATAAGTATTTAAGTATGAAATGTAATTCTTAGATTGTAATAGGAATTTCTGAATGTTACTGTTTGAATTGATATTTATAATTTATTTTGTAAAAACTTTTATTGGGGCTTAACTCTCATTAATTCACTCCTTTAGGGCCTAACTCTCATTTTTTTATTGATTATTGTTGTGAATCATGTGAGTTGCTGGTCCAGTTTGGAATCCACTTTGTTCTATAATATGAAGGAAAACTTTCTTGTCCATTCACTTTGGCATCAAGGGGCCCTTAGGTTGGTTTGTGGGAAAATGATTTTTTGTTCCCTTTTGTTAAAAAGAATTAATATATATTATTTATTAGTACAAACTATCATCTCTTTCCATTAATTAATTCTTGTGATATATATTTTCTATTTCTTTTTGATTAAAGAATAAATTAAAAGAGATATTTTGTGTAGGTAAATGAACAAATTACTCATTGAATTTTAAGTCTAGTAACACTATATAGTAATTTGTTTATTGTGCTAATTGTTATATCAACTTTGAAAATTGATACAATTTAGCTCCTACCATTAATAAAAATTAATTTTGACTATTAGTTGATAAGAAATTTACCCAAAAAATCATACATTTTCAATAAATTTTAAGCTTTTTTTGTCATTTTATGATCAACTAACAGTCAAAGTTAACTTTTATTAACAACAAGAAATATATAATAATATTTTTAAAAGTTAAGGAAACAATTTATATAATAAAAAAGTTTATGTCTATGGTGATACTGGATTCAAAGTTCATGAAGTAATTGCTCATTTATCCTTTTTGGTTTTTCCTACAAATTTTCATGTTCATGTATTATATTTATTTTATTCTATTAAAGTATATGGATCAGTCTCTCTATCAAAAAATTGACATTCAGTTGGTATAATAAAAGCAGTTCCACATGCATGCATATTCAATTATCAATACTGACTGGATCAATGGGATATCCCACCCCCACCTTATCCTTCTAGTTTCCCCACCAATTAAAGATAAAATTAGAATAAAGAAATTATAAATTATAAGAAAGAAAGAAAAAAGGTTACTTCTTTTAATATTAAAAAAGCTTAATCTTAATCCTTACAAAGGATTTACTTGTGAATAAATAAAACATTCCCTCAATTTGATGCTTTAAAAATACTATTTTCCCAACTTAACTGTTCACAAATAGATTTTATTTTTCATTTAATCTCTCATAAGTAAAATTATTATTAAGGTCATTCTATCAATCCATTGTGAATAAACGTAGCGAAAAATATAATGACATGTAACGTGTTTCATAGGTCATAGGTCATATACATAAAAAGACACTATCAAATTTTGATATCTTCGTCTGCATCTGGAGAATGGAATTTCTTTCTCTTTATATATATATATATAGTGATATCTTCGTCTGCATCTGGAGAATGGAATTTCTTTCTCTTTATATATATATATATATATAAAGAGAAAGAAATTCCATTCTCCAGATGCAGACGAAGATATCAAAATTTGATAGTGTCATATATATATATATGCGCGTGTGTACTCACAAAACATTTATTAGGTTATTTATTAGCATTAACTAAAACGAAACAACAGTCAAAAGTAATGAGAACTTCTTTTCATTTCCTTCAAAACCAAATTCTATGCTCCACCGACATAGTAAACTGAACAGTGAACACCATAAACGGAAATCAATTGGCAAATTAAACCAATGGAGTTATAAAAGATAATGAATTGTATATTTATTTCATTTTTTATTTATAAAATCATTGAGTATAAATACCTGGGTGTTTCGTTCAAAAAAAAAAAATACCTGGGTGTAGGTGAGTGAAATCAATTACATTGATCCGTTTGGTTTCAGTTAGGATTTTCAAAATAATTTTTAAAATAAATTTTTGATCTAGATATTGTTTGGTTTTCAATCTTTTTTAAAAAATTTATTTAAAGAGTTCCTTTTGGATATGGTTAAATGTATTTTTGGCTAACTTAAAATTTTCTTACTTTTGAAACTTACATTTTAAAAGCAACACTTATTTATCCAAGCTAACTTTGGAAAAAAAAAACAGACTTAAATATAAATTTTATTACAATAATTAATTTTTATTAAATTAATTTTTGTCAAATGAATTTTTACTAAACTAACTTGGAAAAGCATACACATTGTGTGTTTGTTAAAATTTGAAATATATTAAATTCTTAAACTGCATTTGAAATATAATTAATCATATTAGTCATTTAAAATTATAATTAATTCAAATTTTATTCTTTTTGTTTTTATTGTTGATGTCTTTATAATTTTAGTATCTTTTCTTATCTCTTCTCATAATTTCTCATCAATTAAAAAATAAAAATTAATTCGTCACTTTTAATCTTTCATTTTTGTTTTGAATTATAACTATTCTCTCTTCTTCATTTAAATTTTTTTAAATATATCTAAACAAAGTATTTTAAATATATTAATTTTAAATGTGAGATTTAAAATAAAATATTTTAATAATATTTATGATTTAATAATATTTTAAAAATAAAGTTATTACAATCAATACCAGATAGATATTATTTCGGTAAAATAAAAATATTATAAATAAATAAAATAAATATGACGGTTTTTGGCCGAAAATAAAAAAGGATCTTAGTGGTTTACTTTTCAACAGGTCGTCTTCAAAGCCTTTGCTTTAATAGGAGAGAACCGTGGCCTTCGAAATTTTAATTTTAATTTACAACACCCACACACAGATAAAGCTCTCGAGGACCAAAAATGAAGCGCCTCTCACTAATCTTCCTCATGTGTATGATCCTTCAACAGGTCCAAGCAGATCTGAGCACTGCAACTTCAGGGAACCTCAACAAAAGCTTCGCCGCCGCCGCGTGCGATGGCTCCGCCGACTGCCTCATCGGCAATGAAGTCGGCGACGACGCCGAGTTCCTGATGAATTCTCATGTAGCCAGGATGCTTCTCGATGCCAGCAAGTTAGTCACCGCGAGAACACCGAACAGTAATCAGGCTTCTGTGGATTGCCCTATGAAACAAGGATACCGAACCTGCCTTCCCTCTGCAAATGGAGGAGCTCCGAAACAAAAATGCGGTGATTACACTCGAAATTGCTGAGAATTACTCAGTTTCTTCCGATCGATTTATGATTTTATGTTTAATTGTGGTGTGAAGATGTTTGTTTCTATGTTTTAATCCGTTTGACTTCCCCTGTATATCTGTTTCTGGGTTTGTCCCTCTTTGTTTATCGTAATAAAGAATAACTGTGAATTGTATCTGTAAAACAAAATGATGAGATTCTGATTAAAATAGGTAATTTCTGTCGCAAACCGATTTACTAGACTGGTCTATTTCAGCATCTATGAATCCAAATTTTTGGGTGAGAGTTGTATGATCTCTGTACTTAGCGTTCACTTCGCATCGTCGATGCGACAAATTCAGTGATATCTCGATGAGTTTCTGTGATCGTATTGTGGCCAAATGGATCGGCCATGAATTTAGGATTTGTTCATCCATTGAAAGAGTGAATTTGGAGTTAGTGAGATGAGAAGAGACGATGAGGAGGAGTATCAACTGATTGGTTGAAGGACAAGTGGGCTCGTCACTTGTCCAAGCTCTTCTCGCCACTACCGTAAACCGTTCACTTTATTTTTGAAATTTGGCATAATTATCACTTTCGTATTCCTTAACTTGGTTGTTTTATATTTTTCACTCACTTCAAAAGGGATGCCCCTACTAATTTTCCGGTGATAAGTGATAACTCAAGTCACACGTAGATTGGGCTATTGGCAAGGGATAAATGACTAAATAAGCGAAAGTAGTCGAGAATTTAGGTGAACATAAAATTTAGGTGAATTGATTTACATGAGTTGGCTAGTATCAGACATCCACCTCGTCGAGAATTTTGTGTGTGTGAAGGGGGGGTGATATTTTATTATTGAATTTTTTAATTTTTTTTTTAGCTTAAATCAGTCATATCCCTAAGAATAAGAATAATTTCAATGAAGTGATCCCTTAATGTAGAAAAAATATATATAATTTAAAGCCAATGGACTTAAATGAACTTGAAAAATCAAACTACATTTATTAAAATGTCATCAATATCCTAAAAGAGAGAGTAAAAATTGAGAAGGTTTCTTTGGAATGCTAGACCTTGCGCAAGCACAAACTAGCTAACACGAGGATAAAAAAAGTTCAAAAACTCATGATGCAATATGGTCTCAAAACTTGTGTGGCAAGATATTTGCCCTTGTGAGGATAAGATATCCAAAGCCTTGATTAACATTGACACACTAAAATTCATGTGGGTCGTTATTAGCCAATGCATGTGTTGAATGCTCAAAACCAAATTCTTCTTTAGAACTCTAAAACTTGCATTGACACAAATCAAGCTATTGTGAGTTCAAGTACTACAAGCACTCCGTCTTCTTTAGAACTCTAGAACTCATATATACCATGCTAGAGCTCGCTTGTTTGAGCATCACAAAGCTAAAGGTATTATAGGACTCCAAAAAATGAATGGAGACAATTGGATGCTTATGAGTTTGAGATGTAACACTTAAAGAACAATCTGTAGCATGTACTAAAACACACATGAGTAAGGTGGACCGATACGAGGAATAAATAAAAATATAAAATACACAAAGATATTTTTTTAAGTTGAAAATACTTGAGTTTGTGCATGAGCTGAAGACTTGTCTCCTTTTACCATGTAATGCAAATGCAAGTTCTCTTTTTTTTTAAGGTTCTCAACAAAAGATGTAAGAGAAACAGAAAGATTAAACCTATAAACTCTTCTCTTGATCTTGCACTTTTGCTATCTTTTTATTGGTTTTATCATAATGATTTTATAATATGTACAAAAAAACCCTTACTCAAGTGTTGTTTTTTTATCATCAAAACAAAGAATTCAAGAAGCAAAATCCGATACCAATTAGCAATCTAGTTCGACATTCCTTTAACGATGCTTTCTAGGGCCAACTGCCCAAGGACCTTGTCAACTCAATACACAACTCCCTTATTCTTTGGAGTAAGGCTCACACTAGCGAAGATCTCTCCTTGCTCTACAAGTGTGAGAACGGTTATTCCCCAACTTAGCGGGCAAAATTTAAATTTTCAAATTAAGGCATTTGCTTTCCAGTATAAAAGGCAGACATGCTAAAGCCATAGACATCTCTCAATCACCAGAACAACTAGACTTCCAAACAGTCTAAATGATAAATCATATTTTTTTATATTTTTATCCTCTTCACTAGGTATTTTTATTGATGAAAAATGAGATTAATTATAATCTGTTTTATTTTATTGGTCACTTCATATTTTGTGGGAATTAATGGATTAAATCTTAAAAATTATGATTAAATTCCCTGTTTAATATTTTTCCACATGTGGCTATTGAATATTATTTTATTTTGTGCAGACTTTTGGAGCTAAATTGAATATCATTAATGGAGATTTGTCAAGCTCAAAGTGTACTCAATTTGATAATTTTAAATTGTATTTTTGGATAAATTTGTGTAATTTGTAATTAGCATCATTTAGGGTAGTTTTCTCATTTCATTAAAAAAAAATCAGATTTTGGCGTGTGAGAGCATCGGACACACGAATCACTTTTTGAAACCAAGAAAAACAGAAAGCTGAACGCGGACAGAGAGGGACGACTCTCTGGTGAAAAAATTAAAAATAATAATAATAAAGAACAGAGGAACGGAGAATGAACAGAGGAACGGAGGAGCAGTGCGGCCGATTGCTCTACGTTGTCTTCTTTTCTTCCATGAGCGACGTCTTCTTCTCTCATGTGCGTCAGTTCCTCTTCAGTATTTAGAGGCATGGAGCTCTGCTTTTGTTGCATATTAGCTGCAATGTTCTAACCCTAAGTTTGCAATGAGAGTCTAATGTTTATAATGGAGGCTTTGGACTGAAATTCCTGTCTTATTTCCCTTTCTTTTGGCTCTCTTTGCTATGATTTTTTGGCCCTCTTTGCTATGATTCATTTAATGTATGTTCAGATTTGAGCATGATAGTTTGATGTTTTGTGGAGGATTTGGGCTGAAAATTTCTGACTGTAGATTTATGATTGAAGTTAGTAGGCTTTAATGAGATTTTCAGATTTGAAAGCTCATCAAATTCTCCCTTTTTATATGTTCCAGATTTGAATATATTTATTTTGCTATCATTCATGAATATTGAGATGCCATAAGCTCTTAGTTGATTAATTAGAGGTTTGAGAGGGAAATTAGAGGAGGAGATTGATAAATTTTCTCTATTTGTAAAAAATTTCAGGATTAATTGTTGCTTAAATTTAGTTTAAAGTTCGAGTGAGATGACAGTAAACTTTGAACTAAATAATAGCATAATTTTTGAATGAATATTCAAGAATTTAAGTTGGAATTTTCTTATGGAATATCAACCAAAGGAATCAAATTTTAATTTGAACAAGGACCCTTGCAACCTAAGGAGGAACTTTGTAGTTAATTGCATTTCTCATATTAAATTCTAGTTAATCATTAAGTATCCCTTTTGTTTGTCTTAATTTTATTAATTAGATATTTCAAATTTTAGTTTCAAAACCCATGCTTAGAGTTTTAAATTAACTTTTGTTTCAGTTGTCAAAAATCCTAGGATAAATCTTTGGTTCCTTGAGAAATGATCCAGGTTGCTCTATATTACAAATCTTAAAAATTATTTTTATTTTAGTGCTACTAGCGTCACTGAACTTATTCTTAATATCATAGAACCTCACCCAACATGACTTTGTACCTTAAATGTTAGGCCTAGACTAAGAATTACCAGTAGCTCCAAGGAACTCTTATGTTGTTCAATCACATTGTACTCTGCTTTTCTCCCAATCCTTAATGCATTTGATTTCTCTTGGAGGTTGTGCTTGTTGTGCGGATAGTCACACGATGATCTAAGGAAATTGAGACAAAGGACCTTGGAACCTACAACATTTTCATTTGAGAATAAGCTCCTTTGGCATCCTTATTGGTGCGTGTAAGTGGCGCCTAATCCCTTCCACGCTAACAAAACCATTTAAAAACAATGGGTTAAAGGGAATTTGAAGTTGTGAAAATCATAACATTCGATTGAGAGAAAATGTTTTGGCAAAAAAATTAAGAGAAAATTGAAAAGAAGCAAAAATATTTTAAATATGAACTAATCTAACTCGTATCTTGGTGTATGCGAATAAAAAATCAGCTGTTATCATTAGGGACGAAGGAAGATATAGTGAAGTTGAAAATTCTAATATGATACGCCTATTATTTAAAATTATAAAACACTTTTAATTAATTTACGTTCTCAATAAATTAGTTAATAACTTTTAAAATTACACATTCTTTTTATACATAATCTTATTTAACATGATATCTCAATTATAAACATTATTAATTACACTCTCCCATTGAGAGCATTTTTGAAAAGGTAGGATTAATTAAATCTTGAAAGAAAAAAAATCTCTTATACTTTTTAACATGATATTAAGAAAAAATACCTTATAATTTTCAATGAAGGTAGTAATTGTCAATTTTTGATGTAAATGATAGGTAATTTATAGAAGAATAATTAGTTGTGAATTTATTATATTTAGACTAAATGATTAAATTATTTCCTGAACTTTAGGTCCAATAGAGGCTCTAAACTTATTCATTGTGCAAATTATTTTCTCAACTTTTAAAAACAGTGCAATTTAGCTCCTACAATTAATAAAAGTTAGCTTTAATGATTAATTGACCATAAATGACAAAAATAGACCTCAAAAATTATAAAAAAATGACTAAAAAATTTAAGACAAAGATAAAAAAAATTACAGGAAAGGATCTAAAAAACTATTAAAATTAACTTTTGTTAATAATAGAGATTAGATTGTACTCTTTTTAAAAGTTTAAAAAATAATTTATATAATAAATAAGTGCAAGGCCTATGATATTATTGGACTTAAGGTCAAGAGGTAAATTATTTATTTATCCTTATATTAAAGTTATAATTTTGATAGAGTAGTTGACAGTGGAGTAGCATTTTTTGGATGAAGTAATAACTTTATTACTGACAATAGAGTTGTTGAGTTAACAAAAACATATTATTATTACTATTATTATTATTATTATTATTATTAAAATATCATGATCTTAGTTATAAATTTTAATAAAATAATTGTCAAAGGGCCCTTTAGGATTTAAATTTATTCTTTGGCCTTGAAACACCTTTCAAAATAAAAAAAACAAATATAAAACACAAGAAATCACTCCATAGTGCGCCAAACGACTTAAAATGAACCTACATGAAGCCATAGGAAAAGCAACCATACAAGATCATAATCAAAGTAGAGAGA